GCAGCGGGCTTTGCCAATGGCCACGAGTCGCCAGCAATCACCATCGCGAGGCGGGAGGAGACGAGGAGCAGAACGCCGGGAAGGGCAGCGAATCGAAGGAGGACCGGAGAACGCTTTCCAGGCGGCGGCGCGATGGGCTTTAATTCGACTCGACGAGAATAGTGATCCGGAGGAGCGGAACGACCCCTCTTATAGGGAGGAGGCTCAGGCACCGAGCAGCAGTAGCGAGGAGGACAATGAGGAAGAGCAAGAGCACTTGACGAGAGGAAGGGGAGGAAGCTAGAGAGGAACGACGGTACAATCTGGAAACATAGAGGGGCCACAGGATGACGATCGGATGGCCACAATTCCAACCCCGCCTCCTACTCGTACGATGGGCCGCGGACGAGAAAATCGGACCGCGAGGGGTCTGGCAAGGGCGGCTTGCCAGCCGCATAACCCCCGCTATTTTTCGCCAGAAGAGCTGGTGAGGCAGGCTGACAAATTTGCCGAAGTAGCGGACTGGGACGTTACGCCTCTCTGCGATAGTCGCCAACCCACGCTGTTACGACGGCTACCGCCAAATTTGTGCGAGATCTTTTCGCTCGCAGTGCTGACACCACTACTGCACCTCTCGCGAAGCCCAGACTCCATCGCGGGATGGAAGTTACTCCTTTTTCTCCCCCGCTTGACACTACGTCAGGGCTCGCCGAAACGACCTGATTGGCCGAAAATCAAAGCCAGACTCCGTGCATTTCAACGCGGCGAGTGGCAGCAACTGTATCTGGACGCAGTCGAAGCAGTCAACACACCGCCCCCGCCACGTCATCGGCCTGACGACGTGGGTACCATCAGCAGAGCAGAGGGCCTGGCGAAGAAAGGGAGCCTGCGCCGAGCCGTGTTGGCGCTCGAGTCAACACCGGTCTGTACGCCCTGCCCAGAGATTTTGGATGAACTCCGCCGAAAGCACCCCGTAGCCGACCCTGACCCACTGACCTGGCCAGTCAGCACCGAACCTCCCAGCCTCGAAATATCCTACGCGGATTTTTCGAAGATGCTCAGCCGATGCGAGAACGGAGTTGGGGCCGGCCCGAGCGGAATGACATTCGAACACCTTCGCGATTTGTCAGTAACAAACGCAGCCGTCTCCACCCATCTGCACGCCTTAGTCAACACGATTATGAGGGGGAATTTGCCACAGCCAGTCGCGGAACTGCTCACGTCGTCACGACTGATAGCCCTGGCCAAGCCAGACGGTGGGGCCCGCCCAATAGCGATTGGAGAATGCCTCACTCGCCTGACTGCAAAAGCTGCGCTGGCAGCCTTGGGCGAAGCGGCACGGGGTTATTTTCTCCCCCTCCAGTACGGTGTGGCTGTGCCAGGGGGGGCGGAGGCAATCATTCACAGCGCACGGGCATACACGGACGCACCCCCCAACTGCCTTGTCCTACAGACAGACATTTCTAACGCCTTCAACAGCATATCGAGGCAAGCCATAGCTACCGCCTTACAAGATCCGGCTCTCTCACCACTATAGCCTCTAGTTAAACTGACATACGGCCACCCATCATCCCTGTTCCTGGACGCTAGCTTCAGTAGCGCACCACTAAGGAGTGAACGCGGGGTTCGACAAGGGGATCCCTTGGGGCCGCTTCTATTCGCAACTGGGATCCACCCCGCATTAAGAGAGACAGCTACTGCACACCCCGGCGTACTGTGCCTGGCATACGCCGACGACGTCAGCTTCCTAGGCGACCACCGTGAAACCGTAGCTGCTTTTTCCTATTTCACGAGCCAATTGTCCCAAGTAGGCCTGCGACACAACCCAGGGAAATGTGTCGCGTGGTGCAACCGGCCGATAGACGAGGCAGTGCAGCTGCCACCTGGGGTGCCAACTAGTTCTGACGGCGTTAGGCTTCTCGGTAGCTTTCTAGGAACATCAGAAGGCGCCGCCTCCTTCCTAACTGCACAGCTACAGGCTATGTCCACACCGCTACCTCAGATAGAACGAATGGACCCTCAGGTTGCATCTCTCCTGCTCACCCGCTGCATCTCACGCAGGGTAGCTTATCTCACACGAACGACTCCACTACATCTTCTAGACAGTGACACCTGGTCACAGTGGGGTAGGGACTTGCTGGCCACCCTCCTTACAGCGTGCGGCATACGCATACCGACGGACGACACGGAACAGACTCGGGTCTGGGAGCAGTCGTCACTCCCACCGTCACTAGGGGGTATCGGAATCACAGACCCAACGGTGGAGGGAACTTTCAGCTTCCTAGCCAGTTTTACACAAGCCGCACTGCTACTTAGTTCCCTGCCGCTGGAGTCAGAGGTGGCCTTGACGGAGGTTAGAAATTACATGCGACTACCACGAGATGTCACCACCGCCCTACACCGCTGGCTGTCCGAATGTGAGAGAGCACTGCCGCAGGAGGCCAGAGACATCCTAGACAAGGAAAGGCTCGAGCCATCCGACCTAAAGCTACAGCATGAGCTCAGGGTGAGAGTGCAGGGGAGCAGATATGCCGCGCAAGTACAGGCAACACGGCTCATGAGGCTGAATCCCTTGTCAGGACATACCCAACGGTTTTTCTCTCTAACAGGCTACGGCACGGGGGACTGGTTGACAGCAATCCCAATAGAGCAAACCCGCCGCGTAGGTCCAGAACACTTCGCCAATGCCGTCCGCTTCAGACTTGGGCTCCCCTTCTCTACTCCCAAAAACTGTGACTGCTCTAAGCGTGTTGAGATCAAGGACCCACGGCTGCCAAACCACTTATTCCGCTGCGGGACAGGCAAGCACAGAATCAACACCCACAACGAGCTGCGGGACGCATGTATTACTATGGCGGATGATGTCGGCTTCATAGTTCACAGGGAATCAGCTGCGTACTGCCCTATTGAAGAACAGACCGCTGACTTCACCATGCGGGACAGGAGCTCGGGGGCAGTATACGCCTGTGATGTCACCATCACAGATCCCATTAGCACTCGGGATCCCAATGCTACAAAGGGGAGGGGATGGGCAGCAAGGGAGCAAGCGGACAAGAAAATCAGCCACTATGCAAATCGACCTGACACGGTCGGCTTCTTCCCCCTTGCAGTTGAGACATACGGGTGCCCATGCGCGGAAGTCCCAAAATTTCTGAAGTTATTGGCAGATACAGCTGCTAGGCATCATTTCAACGCCCAACCCACCTCCCATCACGCGAGGAGGTTCTTACACCTCTTCAGGCAGCGCTGGTCCGTGGCTCTGCAAAGAGCACAGTCGGTGGGATACTTAATCAAGTCCTCTCGGGCGGCCGTAGCTGAAAATCCCCCTGTAGGGGGGGTGCAGTCCGAGCTCCACCTTGGGGACTGCTGTGCAGTGCTGGAACCTCTTATGGAGGTGTAGAGACGTAGTTGTTTGTCGTTTGTTTGCTTGTTTTCCAAACCATCCTAGCAATAGCTATGCATGAATGTACCCTTTGGCTATATCAATACACGGACCAATAGAGAGAGAGAGAGAGAGAGAGAGAGAGAGAGAGAGAGAGAACGAGGGAGAGAGAGAACGAGAGAGAATGAATGAGAGATAGAGAGAGCGTTCAATAAACTACGGTTTCGAAATAAAACATGACTTCAAACAAGATCTAAGCCGACCTAGTTTAGATCTAAGTCGTCCTAGGTTAGAATCAAGTCGATCTAATTTGTAATGATCTAATTTGACTCAAAATGATAATTTAGGGTAGTTCTTACCTTGCACTAGTAGGTAGAGGGTGTGTCTGGTGGGAGCTCAACTAGCGAGAAGGAGGAGCGGGAGAGAAAAGGAACGAAAAAACCCGAAGGCAGTTTCAGATTCGTCGCAAAGATTTTGTTCCTAATAATTTTGTTATTCGAAATGAACATCTGTGCTGTCGCAGTCGTTTGAGATTGAACGCGGAATCGAAAGGTCTCCAGTTGGATTTTGGGATGCGATTAATTTTAATCTTTGGCATGTAGACGAAGTACCACTTAGTGTCGTACTACAGCATAATATATAGAATTTGAAGTTGTACAAATTTATATGATTACGCAAAACGCTTCACAACCCTAAGACGATTTCGTCGCCTCTTGTTTTGCTTCCGCTCTCCATCTGTTTTACTTGCCATAATGTGATCTAATGGGTTTTGTACTTGCAAGCCAATTAAATTGTATTTTTAGACTGGCGCAATTTTGATTGTACTGTATATGTAGAATAACTCAATCTCACCGTTGTTCCCGCGAGTCAAACCAAAGCCCATCGGTCAACGCGCCGTTTGGGGATCTCGCGGCTTGAATTTGTTTCGAGTAGTGTGCTAATCTTCTCGAGTCGTGTTTGAATTTGGGCTAAAATTCACATCGGCATTCCCTAACCCAGGGTTAGCAGCATGTGCACATTCATTTTGTGGTGATGCGGTGCGCTAGATTCTTCAACCGTTCCAAACATATTCAGCACCTCTCATAAACGAAATGCACCTCGAAATTGGGTGCGTGTCGTCGCTGGGGCATGTTGCGAGATTGTACGAGTGCGGTTGGAAATGGTATACATGTATTAAAAGCGGTATACTTGACATCCAGTACGGTTATGCAGGGATTCTTTAGAATATCTACATTGCTGGACCTGTTCTAAGAGCCAAATCCCGTTGACAATTTCCTGGCCTATTGTGCGGTACATCATTCTAGAGTAGTGTGTCCACGCTGCTTTTTTTTCCACTCGAAGTTGAATATTAGCTCTCGCCCCGTGAAATTCAGACACCTTCACCGCCCCAGCTGTGGTCACTGGCGGAGCTTTAGGAGCTCATTGCGGAGCTCATTGTGCCCGTTTTCGGCTCTTCCGATTAATCTCCTACAAGGTTAGTCCCTCCTCATGCATTATTTTCTTTCACCATCTATGTTAGTGGAAAAAACTGCAATGTAAATGATGAACCCACATTCTCGGCACGTAGGCGACGCGAGCGGTTTTGCACCTAAAACATAGCAATAGCTGAGGATCGGCGCGAATGCGGAGAGCCCGTGGCATGAGAATCTCTGCGCAAGCCCGTGAACACGCCGTGCGTGATGCGGTGTGCGCCGTGCAAGTGATACTCGGCGCATCACCTCATCATGATCAAGCCGAGCGGATGCACGGCGTGCGTGATGCGGTGCGCGCCGTGCAAGTGATGCTCGGCGCATCACCTCATCATGACCAAGCCGAGCGGATGCACGACGTGCGTGATGCGCTGCGCGCCGTGCAAGTGATGCTCGGCGCATCGAGCATTCATTGCTTCGCGCATCCCCGTGAACACGCCGTGCGCATGCTCTGTCAGAATAGTGAAGGAAGGAATGAATCATAGCTAGGGTTTAGCTAGCTAGGCAAGAGAAAATAGGCAAAGAAGTGATTGCACTAGCAAGCAGGTGGATACATATAGGAAACCCTAAGGGGCCATACTCACTATAGAGTACCCCACCGCAGGCTAGACAAACTACACATTCTGACATGCTCGTCGCTATTGCGAGGCATGCCGTGCATGAGACACTCGGCGCAACCCGGTAAGTGATGCTCGGCGCATGCGAGGCCTTGCGCCGAGCGGATTCACGGCGCACATCGCACGCGCGCAGTGAATCTGATGCTCGGCGCATGCCAGGCCTTGCGCCGAGCGGATTCACGGCGCACGTGCGAGGCGCGCCGTGAAGTTGATGCTCGGTGCATGCCAGGCCTTGCGCTGAGCGGATTCACGGCGCACATCGCACATGCGCAGTGAATCTGATGCTCGGCGCATGCGAGGCCTTACGCCGAGCGGATTCACGGCGCACATCGCACGCACGCAGTGAATCCGATGCTTGGCGCATGCCAGGCCTTGCGCCGAGCGGATTCACGATGCACATCGCACGCGCGCAGTGAATCCGATGCTTGGCGCATGCCAGGCCTTGCGCTGAGCAGATTCACGGCGCACGTGCGAGGCACGCCGTGAAGTTGATGCTCGGCGCATGCCAGGCCTTGCGCCGAGCGGATTCAAGGCGCGCGCCGTTCCTTCCCTCCGCCCTCCAATCCCTCACCCTGCCATCGCCTCTCTGTGCCCTCTCTTCATTCCCTTTGCCCTCCATTCCCTCACCCCGCCATCCCCTCTCTCTGCCCTCTGTTCCTTCGCTCTGCCCTGCCATTCCCCCTCTCTGCCATCCCCTCTATGTGCCCTCCCTTCCTTCCCTTTGCCCTCCATTCCCTCACCCCGCCATCCCCTCTCTCTGCCCTCCGTTCCTTCGCTCTGCCCTCTCTGCCATCCCCTCTCTGTGCCCTCCCTTCCTTCCCTTTGCCCTCCATTCCCTCACCCCGCCATCCCCTCTCTCTGCCCTCCGTTCCTTTTCTCTGCCCTGCCATTCCCCCTCTCTGCCATCCCCTCTCCGTGCCCTCCTTTCCTTCCCTTTGCCCGCCATTCCCTCACCCCACCATCTCCTCTCAGTGCCCTCCGTTTCCTCCCTTTGGCCTCCATTCCCTATCTTGATCCGCCCCACCCAGGGAAACTCTCTGCTCCTGGTCATGTTTTTCCGCCCCACACTCTCCCCCCCTGCCCCACAATACTAATCCCTGCCCCACCCTCTCCCTATCTGCCCCACCCTCTTCCTTTTTTCTAAACAGTACAGGGCAATGGTGTACAGCTGCCCCGATTGTCCTGCCACGGGCTTCACAACAAGAGACAACGTAACGAACCATCGGCATGGCGGACGATGCCCCGGGAATTTGCGTAATGCGGCTGTGGCAAATAGTGGCAACCCATTCCTCATGAACCGCCACAATGCCGCCTCCATGCCATCCCCCACCCTCTCTATTCCCTCTCCCACCCCCTCCATTCCCTCTCCCACTCTCTCCATGCCCACTCCTCCTAACGCCGAAGTACGGAGCCTCTACGAGGCAATGAAGGATCCACGCATGACAACATGGTGCCCGACTCATTCCATCCAGCCCCCACTCCCTCAAATAGTGTGGATTCAACGCCGGATGTGTTGCCCGATGACGCCACCTCTGCCCATACGAATGGTGCGGCTGAGGGCAGCACAAATGATGGTGGGGAGAGTCCGCCGTTCACCTTTTGAATGCATTTGTGCATTGGTTGCTCACTTGTGGAGTGAGCAAGAAGAAAGTTGATAAGTTGCTACAGATTTTTAACCACCACGATGCATGTCTCGAGCAATTGCGCGAGCTCAAAAATATGAGAGACGTTGAGAAGTATGCGGACGACCACGCACCCGATGCGCATCAGAATTGGAGAAAGGCCAAAGTGCGGCTAGCGGGCAAGCCTTATGTTGAATATTTCTACAGTGATGCCATCCAAGGCATCAAAGATATTTTGACACACCCAAAAGTGGCCCAAAAACTTGTGTTGCATGTTATAGTCACAATAGGCTTGAATGTGCCTAAAACGAAAGATAGAGAGCACAGACGGATTTCTGCACAGCGGCTTCAAACGTTGATAGCGTTCTGCTCACAGCTGCAAATGACTTGATTGAAATTGGATCTGGAGCGTCTTTACGTCGTCTACAATAAGCAATTTAGATTGCACGATTTAATCAAGAATTGACGACACAGCGTCGGTTTGAACGAACGGTACTATGGCAGCCACAATAGTCTTAGAACACAAGATAGGAAGAGTTACGAGTTGGGAATGACTCCCAGCTCCTACAAACCCCAAGAGCCGAGGTACAGTGATGTGGAACAGTGCCACACTGTCCCCAACCACGAAGGGTCTCGAAACTACCCTCCACAAGGGCCTACACCAAGAGAAATGTTACACTACACAAAGTAATGCAACTATTCTCACTATCTTAAAGTTTACCCTTTTGGAGAGCTTCGAAATCAATTGATTCTTGAAACCAAGGCTCTGGTTCTTCAAGGTAAATTATTCCTTGAGTTCTTGGAAGTCTGCTGCGCACACCTGCGACACGCCGAACGTTCCACACACGACAAAATAGAAAACCGCACACGACACGCAAACGACGACATGACACGCGACTAGAGATAACTCGCTATTGACTCGACACACACATTCAAAATCATGCCTCATCATTCACACACTATTGGAAGCATGAAATATATATTATTTCATGCCCTCATACCATTCCATGCACACACGCATGCACGCGCACGGACAACAAGCCGAATGCAAACCGTAGGGTTGCACCAACATTGCACCCCACCCCTCGTGCCTCAAATGTGAAACATGTGTACTCCACTCCCGAGACGGGAGATTGGTGGGATGCTCTCCATAAAGAGAAAATAAAAGAGGACCCTCATGGGGTGGTGTGTGCTCTCATCCTTGCTAGTGATGAGACGCATTTGGATCATCGGGGGAAAGCCAAAGGCCATCCGGTACATCTTACCTTGGCCAACATTGATAAAGATGATCGATGGAAACCATTCGGTCATGTTTTGCTAGCTCTATTGCCTGAATACCCTTCGGAGTATAACTCTGATGATAAGCTTTTTTTGTTCCAAAATATCATGCACACCGTCCTTGAGCCTTTGATCAAGGCGTCACATCATGGTATTCCTATTGAGGACGTGTCCGGAGTGTCATACAATGCGTGGCTCGCACTCTATGCATATGTTGCCGACTACCCGGAGACACGCAAGGTGTCGCGCACCAAGCAAGGATGGGACACAAGCCACCCAAGCTCCATTTGCGCTGTGTACAAGGAAAACTTGAAGGATTTGGTTGACCGACCAAATCCACGCTTGTCGACCATGCAAAGAACGATTGTTTCTTTGTTAAAACGCCGTTGCTTACCCACGGGGGAGAACATGGAGCTATCGACACACCCCGTGAAATGTTTCCTTTGGGGATGGCGTTTTGAGTCTCATGCACTTCTCAACCCGTATATGTGCCTTATGCCGGATATTATGCACCAAGCGGATTTGGGCATCCTATAGTACATTTTTTGATGCAATTCGTGCTCAATGCACGGAAATGCAGAGGGAAGCGTTGGATACGCTGTTGAAATTCTACAAGAGTATCAACCGCAACCCACATCTTAGACTCCCCTCGAGGTCTTACTTTGGCAATGGTGCATCTTATCAGGCATACGAACATCATAGTGTCATGCGAATCCTCCCATTCCTTCTTAAGGGATATGCAAGTGATGATCAGATTTCAGGCATCATCGCGTACATCGAGTGGTACTAATACTGTGCACGAGTCACCGAGCATACCGAGGAGAGTTCACACCAAGTCAAGCTCATGGCGAGCAGGTACGTTTACCTGTGCCATTCAATTAGCCATTATGGACATGATTGTGCACCTCTCACAAATTAATCGCATTTATCCCATTCGACGGGATGCTTCGTGGTCTTGAGGCGTTCACCCAGAAATCAAATTGGAACATCATCAAGGTGCATCTGGTGAGCCACGAAATCGACGCTATCCGCCGCGCAGGACTTCCAGAGCATTGGTGCGCGCAACTATTCCAGCATCTTCACATCGAGTACATGAAGAACCCGTACCGAGCTTCGAACAAGCGCAACGCTGCTGCCCAAGTGATGAACGCCGAGGTGAATAGGCTGTGGTTGCAAGCACTTGCACCGCAGCACAGCAAGCGGAAGCGATATGACACAGCGATGCTTCAGGTGAGCAAGGAAACTTAGTCAACTTTGTAAAATTGTCAAGGCTTCCAATTTCTTCATGCTTGTTTACGATTTTTACGTTTCTACACTTTCATTTTCATCTGTTCACGTTTTCCAGGCGATCTCTAGATGATCGCGGATTCTCTCGCGTGTGAGAGAATTGACGAGAGAATGAGTGAGGATGATTGCACTAGAAAGCATTGGGATACATATAGCAAACCCTAACAGGGTTGTACTCACTACAGAGTACCCCACTGCAGACTAGAGAAACATAATATTCTGACATCGCGATCCTATTGGAAGCTGGCGGTCTTGCCGAGGCAAACGTGTCCACCTTTCGTGGAACCAGTGGCGCCAGATGCTGCGTGCCACGCCGCTTTCAACAGGCAACTCGCAGGCGACCTGCAGAACCTGCGACGTGCCCTGGATGCGGCACTTGGATGCAACGGGAGCAACGTCCACGTCATCCATGTGAGTTGTGGTTTTTCATGCTTATTTCTTGCTCGATACTAGGCACTTTGTTTTGCAACTCCTTCCGCCTTGTGGTTCCGAAAAGCAGTTTCGGGTTTGACGCGAGTACAGTGCGAAAAAAAGTATCTCCAAATAACATACAATTAAAATCTAACATAATTTTATACATTTATATTCCTTTTTACCGTGCTTCCGTTATCATGTTGTGACCTGCAGGTACACAGTGAGCTCGCTATGCCTGCAACACTCGATGCAGATTTCAGACGGTTACCTCATCGGGTTCAAGCAGTGGCGAGCTTTTATGGGCGACCTTGGTACTCGGACATTGCGGTGCGGGGACCTTTGGTGGACGGCACTAATGAAGAGTGGTATGCCAAGACCCTGATTTTATTCCAGCTGAGAGATGGCACGGAACTGAAGCCATACGCATACATTAAATACTATCGTTTGCTACCAGACAAAGATCCGGCAACAGGATGCGCGCAATTGCGTTGGGGTTTTCAACACCAGCGATACCAGGTCAAAAGCGAAGAAAGAATCTTGCGATCAGTAGACTTGGTGCAGCCCGATGCCAGAGACCAACTGTGGTTGGTCAAAAGGTTTATCTTTTAAATATCATTATTATATATAACATTACCGAAACCACATTAAAGATATTTGTCTCTCATTTGTTCTAAGCAGTAGTTTCCATTTATAGGTGCTGTCCCACAATGCCTCCTTCGAAAATTTCCATGTCAGCGAAAATTGCAGACCACCCACGAAGGATGGCCATCCGTCAATACACAACAGTACTAGGCTGCGCCGCATGTAAGTGCGCCAGCCGCATGTAAGTGTGTTAGCCGCTTCGCGCAGCACAATCCCATGCCTCGCACATGCGTACTACTTACCCTTCCACCATGCCCGTTTCCCAAACTTGCCGATGGCAGCCCGTCACCACTTCGCGGGCGTGAAGATGTGAATACACTTCGTTCCCGATCTGCTTGCGAAAATTTCTCTGCCCGCCGCTTGACCATAATATTAGGAGCGAAGCAGCACACCAGTCAAGAAAAGCAAAGCAAGCTCAGGGTGGATCACAAAGTCACCACACAGTCCGAGCACAAGCAAAGGGCCACAAGGCCAGTTCACATGCAGAGTTATATAACGAGAACAAACAATACACTGATCATACCCTAGCAAGTGCAAGCATGCGAGTACATATAAAGATCACATTACAAGCAGAGTCAAGCAGTAAGTAAGTGAGGCAAAGTGGGAACAAGGCCTAACACAGTAGCAAAGCGTTGATGATCACCAGGCGGAAGTGCCTTGGTGAATACATTAGCAATGTTGGCCCGAGTGGCCACGTACGCAAGACGAAGCTGGCCACGCTCTTGCAACTCTCGAGCAAGGAAGTATCGCAGAGCGATGTGCTTCGTTCTGTGCTCCAGTCTGTGCTCCTGACACAAGGCAATCATGGCCTTGTTGTCTACGTATAGGACTGGAGGCGAACGAGGCTGCTCTCCCAAGTCGGTCAGCAAGTAGGTGAGCCAGCGTAGCTGCTGAGCAGCCA